TGCATGCCTAATTCATATTTCTGTGAATTTCTCAAATGTGTTCTGGCTTTTCAACATCTTATTTTCCATCCATCAGCTATGTCATCGTTTGGCAGATAACAGGCATACTGGATATTTGATGGCTGAGAATATTCATGCATCATCCACTTTCTTCCAGTAGGCCTCAGTAATCAGTGACTCTTGAATTTCTGTAGCGTGTTCTGTTCTTATCATTTGGCATCTGCTTATATTGTATTATAATCTTTCCCAGTAATTATAAACCCTGTGAGGCTATCTTACTCTTTTTATCTGCCTATGTTTAACTTGTTGTGTAGGATGAATTATTATATTATTACTATCATATATAAAATATAGTATGTATAATTATTCTGTTATTGTTTACTTTGCCTTTGTATATGTTCTTTGAAGACCAGTCCTTTTATTCTCATTAAAATGGGAGTGGCTTTTTTTTTTAAGATTTATTTATCTGAGGTGGGGGAAGGGGCAGAGGGAGAAGGAAAGAATCCTCAAGTAGACTCCTCGCTGAGCACAGAGCCTGACACAGGGCTGGATCCCAGGATCCTGAGATCATGACCAGAGTTGAAATCAAGAGTCAGACTTTTTTTTTTTTTTTTTAAAGATTTTATTTATTTATTTCAGAGAGTGAGAGCAGGAACAGAAGCAGGGGGAGTGGGAGAGAGAGAAGCAGGCTTCCTGCCAAGCACGGAGCCCAATGCGGAGCCTCGACATGGGGCTTGATCCCAGGAGCCTGGGATCATGACCTGAGCCGAAGGCAGACGCTTAACGACTGAGCGACCCAGGCGCCCCAAGAGTCAGATGCTTAACTGACTGAGTCAACCAGGTACCCCAAAATGGGAGTTTTGCTTAGTGATTGAGAGCATAGACTCTGGAACCAGATTGCTTGAATTTGAATTATCTAGTGAAGTTTGGGCAAATTACTTAACATCATTATAACTTAGTTTCCTTATCTATACAATGGAGATTTGAAGAGTAAATATATTTTATGTGAGTGCTTAACACAATGCTTTATACGTAGTAAGTATTATATATGTTATGGAAGGTTTAGCTATTATTATTGATTGATTCTGGAGAAAGTTGAATAACATCAATTCATATTTACTTTACCTGTGTTTGATCTGCCTGTTTCTTTTTATTAAAATGTCCAATTTCATTGTTTCCTTGAAATTATAGCAGCCTCTGTCTCTTGAGGCACACTATCTTGGTGATGAATTAGACCTCTAACAACTGTGTTCCTTTTACATGTTATTTTTATAAGTAGGATTCTAGTGTTAAGGGATATGAATCCACTTTGCTAATACTTGTTTTGTAATTGCAAAACCAGTATGACACAGTGGGAGCACTGATTCCCTTCTTGGGTTATTGCCATCTTTGCATTGCCTCGGGCCACACTGTACTAGAGGGATAAGTTAATCACCTGTCCTGTGTGGTCTGTTGCCTTGACGCTTAATCACTTGACCGATGGCCCTTTTGACAAAGACTATAGCCAGTTTCCTACAGCTGAATTAACCTTTTACAACTGTTTAAATAAATCACTTTTTTTTGCCTTTTTATTTTTTTTATTATGTTCACTTTTTAAAAACAGTTGAAACATTTCAAGTGTGAGAGAAAAATGCAGTTTATTTCCATGTTTTAAAATGAGACCCTATTAAATTATTTTTCAAAGCAAATGTTTGTGTATTTTGAAATTTTAAAAAATTCTATGAAACTGAACTTATCATTGAAATAAACTGTCATAAATCACTTGCTTTAAGAATTATTGGTGGGGGGCACTTGGGTGGCTCAGTTGTTAAGTGTCTGCCTTCCGCTCGGGTCGTGATCCCAGGGTACTGGGATCGAGTCCCACGTCGAGGCTCCGTATTGGGCTCCCTGCTCGGCAGGAAGCCTGCTTCTCCCTCTTCCACTGCCTCTGCTTGTGTTCTTGCTCTCACTATCTCTCTCTCTCTCAAATAAATAAATAAAATCTTAAAAAAAAAAAAAAAGAATTACTGGTGGGTTCCTGGGTGGCTGAGGTGGTTAAGTGTCTGCCTTTGGCTCAGGTTGTGATCTCCGGGTCCTAGGATCGAGTCCCACGTTGAGGCTCCCTGCTCGGCAGGGAGTCTGCTTCTCCCTTCACCCCTCCCCCCTGCTCGTGATCTCTCTCTCAAATAAATAAATAAAATTTGAAAAAAACAAGAATTACTGGTGATAGTGGATAGCAGAAATGAATTTTGTATAACAAGCAAAACATATTACAAATTTTTTTTAAACTTAATGCACAAGCAGGTATGTTTGAATTTGTTTACTTTTCATTTTGCTTTTGTTTCAGCTTAACTAGTCGCTGTTGAATTATTTTTGTTTGTGTTATCAGATTCCATAATTAAAGCAGCTAAAATATTGTATTGTGAAATAAGAGGCCATCCATTTTGGGAGTAGCTCTGAAAAACTCTCTATACCTAAAAACTACACTGTTAATTTGAGTTAAATCCTGAGTCTTAGTGATGTGTGGAAGTACTTGGATTTTTTTTTAAAAAGGCAGCTGTTTATCTCCCTTTTTAGCAAAATTTACTAGAGATATTATACTTAAACTTTTTGGCTAGTATTTTTATTAGGATTTTACAGTTTTTAAATTATAAAAAATGTAAATATCCCAAAATATTAAAGAATACTGTATAGATCCTTGATACCCCAGTATTTAAGAAGAAAACATAACCAGACCATAATAAAAAATAATGAAGTCAAAAGAAAAAGTTAAGTTTTTAACAAGTTTTATTTATTTGAGAGAGATAGGGAATGAATGGGAGAGGGAGAGAGAGAGAGTCTCAGGGAGACTCCCCACTGAGTGCAGAGACTGATGGCGGGGCTTGAGCTCATGACTCTGAGATCATGACCAAGAGTCAGATGCTTTAACCAACTGCACCACCCAGGTGCCCCTAAAAGGTTAATTTTTAGTATGAGTTAAGAATGAGCTAATGCAGCTAAATAATAACCTTTGTGGAAAAAAGGGAGCTATCTTAAATAACAGGGTAGCAACAGAAGAAATAATAAACTTACTTATGTACATCATCAAATCAATTCTTTTGACAGTATTTATATGGTAATTTTCTCCCTGCATTGTCTTGGGCTGTTGTTTTAATAAGCTAGTGTTTAAACTTCTTTTTTCTTAAAACCTGAGAGGTTGGAAATGGCCTATTAACTTTTACTTGTACAGCACCAGAACGCTGTCGATTTATTAGCCATGTATGTTTGCAGGTGGAGTAAAAGTATTTAGGGATAATTTAACTAGTTCTTCCTTGAAGTCTCAGCCATGCCCAAACCTCCTAAGTTAAGGATAGGATTTCAGTTCTGATAACTATTCTTTGCCAGACACAGTAATATTTCTCCTTCAGTGGCATTAGGCTATGGGTATAAATTGAATCAGGATAGATAAATAGTTGGGATCAATATAGTTATGCTGCATTAGACCATAGGGCAGATAACAGCTGAGTCAGCAGTTCAGTTATAGTTATTGTACAAATAAATTCATTGCATTGCCACATAGTCCTATTTTATTGGAGGGAGTATTTACTGATTTGTGCTATAGTCATTGACATTTAATGAAATTATTTTAAATGTTATAAAATTAAGGAAGGATTTAAAACTATAATGAAAAGTGACCATCTCAATGTGTTTTTATGCAAAATATTCTTCCTGTGTACCTGTTTCTTTTATTTGTCATCATTATCTTAGCAAGCTTTTAAATTATTAACTAATAATTAACTGTTCTATAAAAGGATATAACAGGTAACCCAGAAAGAAAAGTAAGCCATGTAGGTATTTATATGCAGTGAGTGGATGCTTGATATATGCAGAGTGCTAGCATGTCATCTTAGCCACTTACAAGCTGACTAACTAGGGAAATTGCTTCACCTCCAGTCCTCGGTTTTCTCATGTGTAAAATATGGATAAAGATAATATCTATCTCATAGGGTTGTTATGGGAATTAAATGAGTTAATATATGCAGAGATTATGCTTAGTGGTCAGTGAATGTTAGCTGTTATTGTCTAATTAATTATAGATCAGTGAGAATTCTTATGTATTCTCTAGCCTTATGGCTAAGTTTCTAGAAAAGATGCTTAACTCATTGAGAAATAATGTGTGTGATGATTCATTTCACTCTTCCATTAGGTTACTTAAATTTCTTGCTGTTATATAACAACTTTGTTGAGGTTCCAAGTTAAGTTCTATAAAGGTGAATAAGGTCTGCTTTGCTTTGAAGTGTCTTATTTTGGAACTTGTATAAGAAGTCAGTAAGAGGGGGGTGAATTCCCTAAGTAACTCTAAAAAAGGGAGATTTTTAGTTTTTCCCTTTTTGTGGCATAAGGAATCTGTATTGGGGGTTCATAAGTCAGATCATCTTTGGGAGGTTAGAAATGTGTTTGAGAAAACATAATGATAAATTAATTATTCCATTTTTATATGTATTTTATACCTTTGTCATCACCCTTTTTTATTGCTTCAGTAATTCAGTTTGTGTACTAATTTATTTATTAAAATAACACTAAGTACTGTGAAATTCTGTCATCCTCACAAAATGGTAAAAGGGAAATAAAATTTATGAAAAGATTATTTGGTAATTTTCTTTTGACATATTTTTTAATATACCAAACCATTAAATCTTTCCTTGCTACTTTTATAATTTAACGTGTTAGCCTTTACAGTTGGGGAGGTTGTAATATGGTTACTAAAGTTGAATGGAAAAACCTGTCAAGTTTCGAGGAACAAAATAACTATAAGAATTCTGTAGCTGTGCACAGTTCTCTACCACTTGTAATTTGATATGTCTTGATAATGACTTTATCTGGATACAGAGCCTAGTAGAGTTTGAGGGCATTTCAAGTAGATCTCTTATTAGAGACAAAATGACTTTAGAAATAGAAAAAACCTCTGAAATGTTGTCACTGTAAATATCACAGGGATAGTCAAATAGTCTTACTGACCCAATATACACTTTCTTCCATAGTATTGAATTTGACCGGGATTGTGACTATTTTGCAATTGCTGGGGTTACAAAGAAAATTAAAGTCTATGAATATGGCACAGTCATTCAGGATGCGGTGGATATTCATTACCCTGAAAATGAAATGACCTGCAATTCCAAAATCAGGTACTTAGATTATTTTATTGGACATGATACAATGTGTGTATAACCTTTAATATCTATGATTCATATGAGTTTGTTATTTTACCGTTCTGTGAGACTCCTTATTCATTCATGGTAAACACTAATTATATACAAAGGATACTTTATAATCTGTCTTACAGATATTTGTTGCTTTTTCCCTGTGGGGGTTAGTAGTCAATGTCTTTCTGTTTGACAAATGAAAGTCTTCTCTTTGTTTCACTTAATCAAATAAAAATTGCTGTTGTAATTGGCTTCCATGGTGTGTTGAATAAAGGATTACTATAAGCTATTAATAGTGTCTGAAAGTCAGGAATTTTTTCGCTAGTATGTGCATGTCTCCAAATTTTATAATTGTTTATAGTTTCAAGAATTCTTTTTATAAGAACATTCTGCTGCTTTTCATAGAGGGCCTAATATTTAAGTTTCATATAGTAAGGGTTAAAGTTCATAATGAGTGCTTTTCAAATCTGGAATCCTGTTAAAAATGCAGAAAGTGGGAATTACTTCAGATCTGCCTCCCCCAGATCTCAGGGGAATCTTAGAATCTGCATTTTTAAAACAAGCTTCCTAAACTATTCTCATTGGCACTGGCTGAAAATGGAATGATACAAGGAAATGATCTAATAATAAATTTATTTAGAACTTTGAACATTTTTCAGTTATCCTTGTAATCTTTTTTACCTGAGTGAATGACATACATAGTTTGGTTCTAATGCAGACTGTTTGGAATCCTGTCCTGTTAAAGTCTGAGGCATCCAGGCACCTCTTCATAGGATTATAAATAAATCCACACAATGCACTTAGCATAATACTTGGCCATTATCAAGATTCATAGTAAATGTTACTGAAATGACCATGTGGATTAGGGGTTTTACCTTTACCGTCTTGACAAATGTAAAAATACGGCAATAGTTTATGGCATGTTGGAGTAAATGGAAGATGTTGTTCAGGACTGGAAGGTATGGGTTTAGGACTGAGAGGATCATGTGTAAGAATGCCTAAAGCCAATTTGGAGCACAGCAGTTGTGAAAGTGACCTAAATTACCCAAAACCACAGCTATTAAGTGGCAGATGTGGAATTTGAGCTCAGGTCTATCTAACTCCAAAATTTAGCTCTTTTAACTGTCCATATAACTTCTCACAGAAATCCAGTAAATATATGTAAACATGCAAACGAACTCTTATAGTCTCTGAAATTTAGCGAGAATGTAACCAGTAGAGAGTAAAAGACTTCATTGTTTTCATGTGCTCTGAAGTAATCTAGGTTAATTTCTAAGTGGCTTTTTTCCTTAATATACATTAGTTTTACTACATGATTCACATAATGTGTCTCCCCAAAAGCATACATTTTTAGATGTTGCATTCTCAGTTTTGGAGCACTTGAGAATAGCTGAAACCATAAAATGTTAAAAGCTTCATTCTAACTGTTATATTCAGTCATAAGCTTATATTAGTTAAGATTTTTTTTTTTTTAAGATTTTATTTATTTATTTGACAGTGAGAGACACAGCGAGAGAAGGAACACAAGCAGGGGGAGTGGGAGAGGGAGAAGCAGGCTTCCCGCAGAGCAGGGAGCCCGATGCGGGGCTCGATCCCAGGACCCCGGGATCATGACTTGAGCCGAAGGTAGACGCTTAATGACTGAGCCACCCAGGCGCCCCTAGTTAAGTTTTTTTTTTGTATGTAAATACAAAAACCCAATTCAAATTAGTTTATTAGCTTATATGATTCAGCACATCTTGATCCAGGGGCCTACACAATTTGATTAGGTCTCTGTCATTGTGCTGTGGCATGCTTTGTGCCCTGTTGGCCTCTGTTTTCACTCATAGATATATGCTCTCCTCATGTATGGAAAGATGGCCAGTGGTGGCTTTAGGCTCCTATCCATCTTCTGGCTAGTGGTCAGAGTGAATAGTGGTAAGAGTCGTTACTTGGTAGCTCAATAGAAAAACTTGGGAGTTATTTGATATATTTCTTCGTAGCTGTGTTGTGGGCAGATTGATTATGAAGCCATGTAGACCATTTCAAAAGGGTTCTAATCCTTCTGCACACATCAAAATTTTTGTATTCATTGTTTATTTTTACATAAAGTAAGGTTTAACCATATTTCTTTCTTTCAGCTGTATCAGTTGGAGTAGTTACCATAAGAATCTGTTAGCCAGCAGTGATTATGAAGGCACCGTCATCCTATGGGATGGATTTACAGGACAGAGGTCAAAGGTCTATCAGGTAAATAATGATACTAGCTATTTAAGAATCACATTTTTACTTTATAGTTATAGTTACAAATTTATAATTTATAATTACAAATTTTAAGCCATTATTTAGCATTTTTATACCTATATAATAGCAAATAATGCTTTTAATTATAAATTTAAAGCCACTAGCATTTTTTATCCTTCTGTAATAGGAAATAATGCTTTTCTGAAACATCGCTTCAGACTTGTTTTGCATTTGTAGAATGTGTCAAATGAATTTACAAAAGCAGTAAAATATGTATATATAAAAAGTTTGGGAATTACTTCGCATGTCATTTGTTTTCATGGCTTGTTCTCTCTCCCTCTCACCAGAGCAATAAATTGGTATCAAGTTTTTTGCTTTCTTTATTTTAAGATCTATTTTCTGTCTGAGACTACTTTGTCTTCCTTCTATATCCAGGAGCATGAGAAAAGGTGTTGGAGTGTTGACTTTAATTTGATGGATCCTAAACTCTTGGCGTCAGGTTCTGATGATGCAAAAGGTACTATTTGAATCTCTTCTACTTTCCCTCACTCCCTTACCCCCAACTTAATCCTTTTACTAGCAGAGATGCAGATATTTATTAAAAATCATAACAATCCTTTGTGATTATTATTCTAAAAATAATCTAAGTACAACAATCTTTATCTCCTTTGGAGTGTAAGAAAAATGAATATACTACATCTTCATTATAATAATGTTTTCCAGATTCATGTCATGTGGTGACATTTTTATAACCAATTCCTTTATATATAACATCAAGTAAACTTTTTTTGCTGAAATATTGAGACATATCTCTGTTTTAAATTATGTTCAATTTCGGGGTTCCTGAGTGGCTCAGTCGTTAGGCGTCTGCCTTCGGCTAAGGTCATGAGGGATCGAGCCCCGCATCGGGCTCCCTGCTCAGCGGGAAGCCTGCTTCTCCCTCTCCCACACCCCTGCTTGTGTTCCCTCTCTCGCTGTGTCTCTCTCTGTGAAATAAATAAATAAAATATTTGAAAAAAATTATATTCAATTTCTAATGTATCCTAAAATCTTTTAATGAAGTTTATCATATTTCAGAGAAAAATTCTGCATCTTTTTCTGCCAATTTAATTGACCTCTTCTATTTTTTCTTATGTATCCCTCTTTACTATTCATGTTTTTCAGTTATCCTTACTATTTTGTTTCACCTGGTTCTTCTCACCATTAGATTTATAAAGCCCTGTTAGATTTCTGTTACCTTATAGTTAACGGCCTTAATATTTTTGCCATTCTTTTCTACATGTAATCTCTAGACTAGTGATTAGATAGGCAAAGATAGCTCTAGTGTCAAAAAGTTTATTTCATAATGATATTCTGTATGTGGGAAATGAACATGACTGAAGTTTCCCCAAAAGATCAAAAAGTAGCAAGTTGTTTACCCATAGTATATATAGATTGGAATATCTTTCTTCTTGATTGTTTTAAGAAATTATCCTTGAATTTCTAAATTATTTAGACCATCATATGACAGTCGATATTTGCATGTTAAATGTTCTTTTTCATAGTATAATGGGGAGAGCTTTTATTGAGTTGAATACTTGTATTTTTGTACTGAAGATTAATATTTATTCAAAGGTGGTAACTGGTCAGAGTCTCCCTCTGGGAAATAGAAGCCATTCAAAACAATTTAAGAAGAAAGAAGTAGAAAGGGATTTCTAGAGTTATTTATTCATGTTAAATTGTATTAAAATCACATAACAAAATTAGCCATTTTAACTCTTTTGAGTGTACTGTTGCATGGCATTAAGTACATTCACATTGTTGTACAATCTTCACTATCATCAGTCCATAGAACTTTTTTCATATCAGCAAACTGAAACTGTACCCATTAAACATAACTTCCCATTTCCTCTTTGCCAGCCCTTTGCAGTCACGTTTCTGCTTTCTGCCGCTAATACTTCCTTGTTTCCAATATGTGTGCTTTTCTTTCTTCTTCTTTTTTTCCTTGCTTTACTGTACTTGCAACAATTTGCAGAATGGTGGTGCGTAGGACTGGTGACAGCAAACATCCTTGCCTTGTCCTGATTTTATTGGGAATGCTTGTAGTCTTTTGTCCTTAATATGATATTATTAGATTGAGACTTTCATTGGACATGTTTTTGTCAGGTTAAGGAAATCTCATATTCCTTGTTTGCCGAGAATATTTATCATGAATGGATGTTGAATTTTATCATGATTTTTCTGTATCTTTTGAAATGATTATATTGGTTTTTTGTTTGTTTGTTTGTTATCATGATCTGTTTTCATATCTTGAAGTGGCCTTATATTCCCAGGACAAAACCCCATCTTAGCCATGATGTATTACCTCTTTACTGTATTGCCATGTTTGATTTGCTAATTTATTTTTTTAAGGGATTTTTGCATCTATATTCATGACGAGTATTGGCTTTTATTTTTCCGTTCTTTCATGTCAGGATAATGCTGGCCTCATAAAACGATTTGTCTTGTTTTAGGGGGTATAGATGGAAGTGATCGTTTAGAATTGTTGTTTTGTTTATAAATCTTTGTTAACTTGTGATTGAAGCTTTCTGAGCCTTGACTTTTCTTTGTGTGAAGGTTTTAATTAAGAATTTATTGTATTTTTTAATTGAAGTGTAGTTGACATACCATGTTATATTTGTTTCAGGTGTACAACATAGTGATTTCAGCAACTCTCTTTGTTATATTGTGCTCACCACAAGGGTAGCTCCTGTCACCATACAATGCTATTACAGTACCATTGACTGTATTCTCTATGGTGTGCCTTTTAACCAGTGACATAAGAATTTAATTTCTTTAGTAGACTTAGGACTATTCAGTTCATCTATTTCTTCTTGAGTGAGCTTTGGTAGTCTGTATCTTTCTGGAATTGGTACTTTGTGTCCTCTCATTTATCTATTATTTATGTATTAAGTCAGCATGGCATTAAATTTATCAATTTTAATTATCTTTTTCAAATATCTAACTTTTGATTATATTGATTTTTTTTTTTGCTATTTTTCTATTTGTAGTTTCATTGATGTTTGTTCGTTAGCTTTTTCCCCCACATTAACTATTAATTTTTTTCTTTGGGTATGATCTCCTTTCTTTCTGTTTTGTTAAAGATGAAGTTTATGTCATTGATTTGCGCCTCTTATGTTTTCTTTTAATAATTTTTTTTTTATTGTTATGTTAACCACCATACATTACATCATTAGTTTTTGATGCAGTGTTCCATGATTCATTGTTTGTGCATAACACCCAGTGCTCCACACAGAATGTGCCCTCTTTAATACCCATCACCAGGCTAACCCATCCCCCCACCCCCCTCCCCTCTAGAACCCTCAGTTTGTTTTTCAGAGTCCATCATCTCTAATGGTTCGTCTCCCCCTCCGACTTACTCCCCTTCATTCTTCCCCTCCTGCTATCTTCTTCTTCTTCTTCTTTTTTTTTCTTAACATATATTGCATTATTTGTTTCAGAAGTACAGATCCGTGATCCTCTTATGTTTTCTAATATAAATATTTCCAGGTATACATTTCCGTTTAAGTAGCACTTCAGCTGACCCCTCAAATTTTCATATAATATATCTGTTTGTTCATTCACTTGCTTAAAATTTTCAGAAATCTTTTGGTTATTGATTATAGCTTAATTCTAGTTGGAGAACATATTTTATATTACTTTAATTCTTTCGTATTTGTTATGATTTGTTTTATGGTCCAAAGTATGATCTGCCTTGGTAAATATTCCAAGTGTTTTGAAAAGAATCTGTGTTCTCCAGTGGAGTGTTCTGTAAGTGTCAGTTAGATCAAAGTTATTGATAGTATCTTTTGGTTTTCTATATCTTTGCTGTTTTTTGTTTGTTTGTCTTGTCTCCTTGTTCTACTGATTATGAAACAGGAGTGTTGAAATCTGATTTTATTTCCCCCCTCAGCCAGGAGCGGATGTTTTGCCTCTTTGTTTGTTTTGGTTTTTTGAAGCTGTATTGTTAGGGTCTTAAGCATTTAGAATTGTCCTAATGAATTGACCCTTTATCAATATATAATGTTATTCTTTATCCCTATTAATATTATTTCTTCTGAATCTAGTTTGTTAGTATTCATCAAAGCAGTAATCTCTTTTTCCTCTCCTTTGAAATTCTACTTACATGAGTGTTAGACCTTTCATTTTGTCTTATAGGCCCCCTGAGTCTCTGTTCTTTTTGTGTCAATACCTTTTCTCTTCTTAACATTAATTTCTTTTGTTGTTTTAGATCACTGGCTCTTTTATCTGCTTATTTCTATTTTGATATTGTTCAGTCCAGTGAATCTTTTATGTAAATTACTGTATTTTTTTCTAAAATTTCATTTGATTCTTATTTTACAGTTCCTGTATTCCTTCTGAGTATTTCTGTCTCTCCATTACTTTTAAATGTGTTTACCTTTACCCCATGGAGCACAGTTACAATAGTTGCTTTAAAATCTGTTTTATAATCCCAACATCTAGATTTTAGGATTGGTTTTTGTTGATGGGATCTTCATTTGAAAATTCTTCATGTTTTCATGGATTTTTGTATGTTCAGTAATTGGTGAGTTGTATCTTAGGCATTTTGAATCTTTTGTAAGACTCTGGGTCCTGTTCAGATTTTCTGGAGAATGTTTTTTGTTTTGTTTTGTTTTCAAGCAGTTGATCAGCTGTTTAGATGGTAACTGTATGTTCTATCTTGCTTTCTGTGTGAGTGATAGTTCCCTTGTCAGGGTGGTTTTCAAAGCCTTTGCTGTGCTACGTTGGTTTGTCTCATGTATACGCCAGTCGGGAGTTAATCTGGAAATTGAGTTGTCTTTTCAATTGTAGTTCAATGCACAAAGCCTTTGTGATGCTCCTTTGTGTCCATCTTACACATACAGAGCTCATAAGTGACTAAAAGACTTAGGCCTGTTCATACACAGAATATGGGCTCTCCTTCTCCAGTGCTTTCTTTTCCAGGTTTCTCCCATATTCCTTGTCCCCCTTTTTTACTGAGACTCTGTCAAGAAAGTTGGGGTTTCTCTACAGACGAGTCACTCCTTTTTATGACCCCAAAGAGAGTTTCTGTGGGAATATTAGCTTGCCATATTGCTGTAGCTCTGTGATGGAAGCCCCCCCCCCCCAGGGGGAAGAGTTGAGAGAGAAGAAGAAGAAAACAAAAAAATGACCCTCAACCCCCTGGCTTGCAGGAATGCCTTTTACTAGTCTTATGGTTAGAAACACAGGGATTTTCCTCAGTTTTTGCTTATTGAGGTGCTGATTTTGGCTTGCCAAGGAAAAAAAGGAGAGAGAAGAGAAATGGTACTCTTACCCCTGCATTGGTTACTTCTTTAAAGTTTTGAATGTCCTTCCCATAATGACTACTTTTCCTTACTTTTTGGATTCTTCAGACATTTGCTTTTTGCTTTTGTTTTTGATATTGTCCTCAGAGTAAACTCATAGTGGGAGAGATTAGCTATGGTGGGCTTACTTTATCTTGGTTGGTACTAAAAGTCCCAAATGCACTTAAGCCCATCTTAAAATTTTAGTATTATGTAAATGTATTTATCACTCTTTGAGTGTTTGGTGATTTTTACTTATAAAATACTGCCTTTGTGATAATTTATAGTAAGAGAATATTTTAAATTACTTTTCATGTATTTTACACATATTTAGCATTTTATATTTTTTATATTTTTAACATTTTATGTTTTGTATTTATTAAATTTTTAATAGTTATTGGACATTATTTTTCAATCCATAATACTAAGTCCTTTTATAAATGACATTTTTTGTACTCATGCTGTTATTTATTTATTTTATTTAATTCTTTGTGTTTAAAAATAGTTTACTTTCAAATATATATGTACATGCTTGGGTGTTCAACGTGAATGTAGCAGGCTAATAGATGTAGTATTGCTATGTCTCAAGTTAATCAGGAAATAATTTTATGAACCAATTTATAAGTTCTTTATGAAAAATATATTTTCCTTTTCAAATACATAAACCAAGAATCATTTGCAATAAATAACCTTGCTTTTGAATTGGAATAATCACATTCTTTAAATGTTTTTTTCTCCCCAAATATGAAGAATATTTAGGTTTTAGAACAGCAGTAGTTACAGGTTCTTATTCATTCCAGATTTTTATAGCTGCATACATTAATGTCAAAGTGATAAATTTGAAATCTTGACAAGTTTAAAAAATTAATTTTAGTTAATGCATACTGAATGAAATACTTTTTTTATCAAAGGACTAAAAAATGAATTGCAACATAATAAATAGCATTAGGATAGCAGTTATCTTTCCTCTAATTTATAACTTTAGGCAGTTATCATTCCTATAAGTTATAACTTAACTAAGTGTAATATTTCCTGTATCCAAGTGAAATTAAAAGGCTTATGTTAGACAGCCTCCCAGATGGCCCCAGTGATCTGTCTCCTAGTATTCTAGGAGTATTCTCCTAGTATTCTGGCCCCATTGCGCCAGTCTGTGTGATTGGTAAAATACTACAGATGTGAAGGTATGTCACTTCTGAAATTAGTTTATATAAAACACTATAGCCTCTGTCTTCATCATTCTTTCTTTAGTATTTGGTTCAATGTGGAGAAGCTAGCAGTATTGTCATAAGCCCAAATGACGGGGCGCCTGGGTGGCTCAGTTGGTTAAGCATCTGCCTTAGGCTCAGGTCATGATCCCAGAGTCCTAGGATTGCGCCCCACTTTGGGTTCCCTGCTCAGCAGGGTGTCTGCTTCTCCCTCTCCCTCTGCACCTCTCCCCGCTTGTGGTCTCTCTGTCTCTCTCTCTCTCTCTCTCAAATAAATAAATAAAATCTTAAAACAAAACAAAACAAAACCTCAAATGGTGGGAAACTGCATCCTCATGCCAAGACCCATGTTGAGTGAGCTTGCAGTGGATCCTGTAGTTCAGCTGAATGGTGACCTCTCTGGGCCCTTGAGACTTAGCCAAGACTACCTAGTTAAGCTGCTCAGAGATCCTGACCCTCAGAAACTGTGTGACAGTAAATTTTGTTGTTTTAAGTTGCTAAGTTTTGGGGCAATTTGCTGTGCAACAATAGCTAACTAATACAACAAGGTCTGTTTTCTCTATTTGATCAAGTTTAAAAGAAAAACTTATGTTTGGTAAATCAATATTGTCAAAGTGAACATCTTTGTGCTTTATCTTTCATATTTTTTTAAAAAGATTTTATTTTCTAATTTAAGTGTCATTTTGTTCTAGTTCATTCTTATGCTTACTTATATTTAATTGTTATAAAATACTGATGTGTAAACCTTGTTTATAAAGGTTCTTAGTGATTAGTAGTGGAGTTATGGGGATAGTAGGTGCTCCATAAATATGTGGTGTGGGTTAACTTTGTCTTGCTACTTTTTTTGAGTACAGCTCTACCACTTGATATTCTAATCTATAAATGCTGTATTTGACTTGTAGACCTTTAATTATAACTAGCCATTTCATCTCAGATTGTATATCTTAATTGCTGGGACAATTTTATATTGATTGGAATAGCACATGATTCCTATTAGAAAATAACATGAAACAAACCAAATATTGCTATTTAAAACTCTTATTCTTTTATTTTAATATTGAGTGTCTTATTTTCCTCTTAGGAGGCTAATAGATTGATTAGGTTGTAAGTAACTTTTTTAATGGTTAACTTATATTCAAGGTCCACATATTTGAAGAAACTCTCCATGGAATTCCACTTGTAAAAGATAAATTATCCCATTCACACAGAGAAAATCTCTATTCTTAGGAAATACCATTTTATAGAAGTGAGAGTTGGAACCATTTTTACTTTTTTTTACTCCCATTTACAGATCACCATATTAGTGTTCCTAAAAAGATTCTAAAATTTTACTGTGCCTCCATCTTAATACTGGTTTTCAACCCCAAATGCACATTGGAATCACCCAAAAAGCTTTTTTTTTTTAAAGATTTTATTTATTTATTTGAGAGAGAAAGAGAATGAGAGATAGAGAGCACGAGAGGGAAGAGGGTCAGAGGGAGAAGCAGACTCCCCGCTGAGCAGGGAGCCCGATGCGGGACTCGATCCCAGGACTCCAGGATCATGACCTGAGCCGAAGGCAGTCGCTCAACCAACTGAGCCACCCAGGCGCCCCCAAAAAGCTTTTAAACAGACACCAATACCTTGACCCCAACTGGGTATTGTCCAGGACAGGTCATTGGGGGACAGGACATTGGCGCCCACTGAAAAGATGGGTAGGAAGATTTTTGTTCTTATTATAGTTAGTGTTCATTATTAATTGCAATGTGTAACCAGGAGTGTAACCAATATCTTGACAGTCTGTCTTATGTGTGTATTCTATTGTCTACAAAGACATTTTTGATGTATGATACGATCATTGCTCTGGTACGTTACAAGACAACAGCTCACCTTTCTATTTCTGCTCTCAGATCTGACCTGCTCTGATCAGTTTTTCCGTAATCTTTACAAATCTCAGTATATACCATTGGAATAGACTAAATATCAAATATTAAAACAAACATTTAAAAGTTTAGCTAAACAATTCTGTAACATTACTTTAGACACACTTAAATCATATATAACTGAGTTCCTACATAAAATTTTAAAATCATGGAATTCTTAATTGAAAGATAAAACAAGAACTGCTTCTAGGTACTTTAAAAATGGCATTTGTATTCTGATGTATATAATAAATATGAAAGTGTGTGTGTGCGTGCATGTGTGTGTAGGAGTGGGATGACTATATGATTCATCTTCCACCCATGACACTTGAGAAAAATACACACCATTTTTTTTCGGTAGGCTCCATGCCCAGTGTGGGGCTTGAATTCACCACCCTGGGATCAAGTCACATGCTCTACCGAGTAAGCCAGCCAGGTGCACCCCCCGCCCCCGCAACACCATTTAAAGAATACTGAAACAAATACACATGTATCTCCATGTTGCCTTTTTTTTTTTTTACTCCTCTCTTTTATGCTTTAGTTATGGGATCATGTTACCTCTCAGCACATTTTTAGTCTGTTTTCTGACTTTGAAACTATGCTGTCTTGGTTGCAATACATTGTTCTGTTACTTAGTCATTTAAAGGTTTTTGGTTCTAGTAAACTAAAATGCTTTGGATTAGTATGAAGAGGCAACTGTAGCAATAAGCAAAACTTTCTGGGTTACAGAAGCATTTGCTAATGTATTGTTTAATTCTTTTCATTTTTATTGTTCTTTACTCTTAGTGAAGCTATGGTCTACCAACCTAGACAACTCAGTGGCAAGCATTGAGGCGAAGGCTAATGTGTGCTGTGTTAAATTCAGCCCCTCTTCTAGATACCATTTGGCTTTTGGCTGTGCAGGTAAGAAATTAAAGCAGCTTTGTCTTCTTTTAATGTTGGTTGAGTATCGTGGCTAGGATAAAAGACTGTAGTTTAAAACATAATTTGCCTTGTAGGTTTAAATTTTGTTTTGGTTATTAGACTCTAAGTTAGAAGTATGCAGTGTGCCATCATTACTCATTTATTGCTATGCCTTAATTTCAGTATTCTGTCACCATCTTTAATACATAGAGATGGTTTGTTGATTATTTTTGTTGTTTCTCTTAAGTCTTTGCGTGCATGAACTAATGCTTATTCATAAACTTAGGTTGTAATGATGTTTAAATGATTAAACTATATTATATAGACATAGGAATCCATTTTTTTAATTAAAGGAAATCTGTTCATTCCTTCAAAAATTTAATTTATATATATAAATTATATATATGGGGCAGGGAATAAGACAGATAAAATCTTTCATCATGGAATGCATAGGAACATAGGAAGTTCTTAAAAACATGTTAGCTGTTATCATAAGAAAGAATTTTTTGCTAACATATTTTTCTTAACTAGGGTGACCAAATGTCTGCCTTTGCCGCTCATGGTTTATACTTATACTGTCATAATTACTTTAGTGCCTTCTTTCATTCTCAGAAGTGTTGTTAGTTGGAAGATAAATCATATGGTTGCCCGAGTCCTTTGTCTTCTGTATCTGTGCACTCCCCCCAAATATTAACTAGAACAGTAAACACCTGTAATTTAACTTCTGCATTAGGAAATCTCCTTGATTCTTTTTTTATTGATAATCTCAGTTTATTTAAAGATAAGTTTAGCACCATATAATGAACACAGAGTCACCCTTAAAAAAGGAAAAGCACAATTTAAGTCTTATTTGTTATTATACCCTTTCCTTATTTCAACTTATTTATTCACTTATATAATGACATAATTTCATAGTTAGTTCCAGTAGGGTGTGGTCTAACATGTATCTGTAAGTAGAATTCTCTTTCTGTTAGCATACAGAATTTTTTTTTTCATGATCAAGTGGTATTCTTTTCCATTTGAACCTACTACTTCCTTATTAACTCCCTTTTCTATCACTGACTAGGCAAGTTGATTAACTTATCTCCCCAAGTTCCTTATCCTTAAAATAGAGATAGCCCTTTGCGGCTTTATGAGGATTATGAAAGGAAAATGTTATATGTAAAGCTCTTATAATGTGGTACTTAATAATTGTTTAGTTATTTTCATTATTAATATTTTATCATGCATTGAATTAAAATAGCTTATTGAGTTTTATTGTTATGTTCTATTTTATAAACACATTGGCCATCATTTATGAATAGAAGTTATTACCAGTATTTAATAGGTACAAATACCAGATATGAATGTCTTCAAAATTTTTCCTTCCTGGTAAAGGGAAGCCTACTTTATGTTTTATCTTTTAATTTAATTTAATTTAATTTAATTTTTAAGTTTATTTACTTAAGTGATCTCTGTACCCAACCTGGGAATCAAACTCACAACCCTGAGGTGAAGAATTGGAAGCAAAAAAACTTACGACTGAGCCAGCCAGGTTCCCCTAGGGGAAACCTACTTTAAAAAAATGCTTTGCTATCTGGCAGGCTGTTTGCCCTTACTGTTTTAAATTTTCATGTATTTCTTACTTAATTTTTGCATTTACTTTTCCATGTATGCTTTAAGATTTATATTTTTCCAGTTCTAGAAAAATTCTTTTGGGATTACATTATATTTATTTGTTATTTTTGGAACCACTGGCATTATTAAGATAGTACATCTTCCCACATAGTTACATGGGGTATTTTTCTGTTTGTTGGGATTATTTTCTATCTTACCATGAGATTTTATAGTTTACTTCATTTAGGTACAAGGTCTTTCTGGTTAATTTTTTTCTATGTATAATTTTTGGTTCTATTTTAAATAAAATAGTTATTCTGTTCCTTATTTTAAGTACTATTTTCTAAGAGTAGATAAAAATTTTTGATATTTAGATATATATATATATATATATATCTAGGCACCTTATAAATGTTTCTTATTAAATCTAGTAGTTTTTTAGTAGTCTTTGAGTTAACTATTTATTTATTTTTTATTTTTTTTAAAGATTTTATTTATTTATTTAATAGAGAGAGAGAGAGCGCGAGAGAGGGCACACAAGCAGGGGGAGTGGGAGAGGGAGAAGCAGGCCTCCCGCCGAGCAGGGAGCCCGATGTGGGGCTCGATCCCATGACCCTGGGATCATGACCTGAGCCGAAGGCAGTTGCTCAACCAACTGAGCCACCCAGGTGCCCCAAGTTACCTATTTATACTTGATAGTGGCCAAAGCGATGTTTGTATTTCTTCTTTTCCAATGATTTATTGCCTTCTCTTCTTACAGGGCAGTGTTATAGGATACTAGTGATAGTTACTTTCCTCATCTGATTCATTTAGTTGAATGGGCTTCAGTCTTTTACTTTTTAGGGTATCTACTTTTTTTTTAATTTATTTATTTGAGAGAGTGAGAAAGAGAGAACATGTGCATGGGTGGGGGGAGTGGCAGAGGGGGAGAATCTCCAGCGGACTCCACAATGAGTGCTGAGCCCCACGCAAGGCTCGATCTCATGACCTTGAGCATGAGATCACGACCTGAGCTGAAACCAAGAGTCAGACGCTCAGCTGACTGAGCTACCCAGGCGCCTCCAGGGTATCTACTTTTGGAGATTAGTCTTTATTAAATTCAAATGATTCATTTTACTGTTTCTTAGGAGCAACTGCAGTATTTTATCAAGTGCTTTTTTAGCCACAGTTGATATAATCATGTGGTTTAATTCGTTGACATGAATTGTGTATATGCATTTTCTGATGTTGAATTATATTTGTGTTTCTAGAATAAACCTTGCTTGAGCATAAGGTGGAATTCTTTAATGAATAGCTTTATTTATTGCTGATATTTTTGTATCTATAATCATAAATTTGATCTATAATTTCTTTTCTTAAACCATTTTAATCATTATTTTATAATTCCTAGTATACAAGTCTTGAACTTGTCTTGTTTAATTTATTCCCGAGTATTGTATTACTTTTATTTTTTTAATTTAAAAAAATTTTTTGCCAAGTTTTTATTTAAATTCCAGTTAACATAGAGTATTTTATTACTTTGAGATGTATTGTGAATGGAATTGTTTACTTAATTTTATTTTTGAATAGTTTGTTGCTAGAGTTCAGAAATACAGTGAATTTTTGTATATTGATCTTGCATCCTGCAATCTTGCTGGTCTTGCGTATTTTTTCCTCTTAGTTTTATTGTGGATTTCGTGGGATTTTCTACAGTTAAGATCAAGTTATCTGTGGATTAAAATAATTTTATTTCTTCCTTTACTATGTTAATGTCATCTTGCTTACTTGTATGAGCTAAAAGCCCACGTACAATGTTGAATGGAAGTGGCAGAAGGAACTTCCTTACCTTATGGAGAAAGCATTCAGTCCTTCACAATTAAGTGTGATATTAGCTGTGAGATTTTTGTTGATACCCTTTATCAGATTGAGTAAATTTTCTATTCCTTTGCTAATAGGAGTATTTATTATGAATGAGTGTTAGATTTTGTCAAATGCTTTTTCTGTGTCTATTGAGATTGTTTATGTCCTTTATTATAATAATGTGGGATAGTTCGTTGTTGTTTTGAATGTTAAACCAACTTTCCATTCTTGGGGAAAATCTCTCTTAGCTATGGTATAAAATCCTTTTTATATGTTGCAGGATTGAGTGTTCTAATGTTTTAAGTATTTTTGTGGTATTTGTAACTTTCTTGTGATGTTTTCTCGCTTTGATAGCAAGGTACTATTGGCCTTATAGAATGAGTTGGGAAGTATTTATTTACTGAATGAGTTTGTAAAGGGTTGGTATTATTTTCTTTAAATTTTTTTTAAAGATTTTATTTATCTGAGAGAGAGTGAATGAGAGAGAGCCAGCATGAGTGGGAGAAGGGGCAGAGGGAGAGGGAGAAGCAGATTCCCCACCTAGCAGGGACCTCAGTGGGGGGCTTGATCCCATGTCTCTGGGATCATGACCAAAGTTGAAGGCAGATGCTTAACAGACCAAGCCACCCAGGCGCCCCTCTTCTTTAAATATTTGATGGAATTTATCAGTGAAACCATCTGGACTTTGACTTCATGAGGATATTTTAAATACCTAATTTAATTTCTTCTTAAAAGTTTATTCAGATTTTCTATTTCTTTTTGAAATCAGTTTTAGTAGTTACTGTCTTTCTGGGAATTTGTATGTTTAATTTTTCTAATTTGTTGTAATAAAGTCGTTCTAACATTCTCTTATAGTTTTTTAAATTTCTGTAGTCAGTAGTGTCCCTTCTTTCATTGCTAATAGGTCTTTTTTGTCTTCTCTCTTTTTTTCTTTTTGGTGGGTCTAGTTAAATATTTGTTAGTTTCTTCAAGGGATGTGTGTTTATGACAGGTGCTTCAGACCAGAAGGCCCCATGTATTTCCAGTGTTCTTAACATTGTTACCCAAACTTACTTGTTGGAAGGGTTAGAGATCTGTAGGCTGAGCCTCTTAAAATGATTCTTAGCTCACCATAAGTATCAGTAGACCAAGAGAGCTGTTATTTCTTTCTTATCCAATCGAGATCAAGAAATGTTGAGTTCAAGAACGTTATGCCATCACTATAATCAAGAGATCAGAAATCTTTCACTGTAACTGATACAAAGCTGGAGACTGGACATTGGAATATTACATTAGAAAATCTCCACATCTTTACAGTGATGCTTGCAACAAAAATATCCAAAGCAGAATGACCACCAAGTTTCTATCTTTCAGATCTTACATAAGTGTATCCTCGTGCTGGAAGCTCATTCATATCTGGAAGCATAACTTCAAGAGAATCTGGGCAATATAGTTTTTAACTTTCCATCCTCCATAGGCTTAAATAAGGTGGTAGGAATGGATGCTGAGGTCATTGGCCCCATCCAGCACAATGCAGTTTCATATGAGTTAAGGACTTACTTTTTCTGACTTTGAAATAGGTGTTT